ATTTGGGGCCTTCTCTATCATTTCACCTTTTCCATTGACATTGTCTTCCAAACTGATCTTATTGTTTACCATTCCCTTAATTTTTCATTCTGCAGTTGTAATAATCTCCCTAGTGTCTATCTGATTATACAAGGTCTTATAGCCTTATAATCTCTTATCAACCAAGGGTAAAATCTGAAATGCTTTGCCTATCTCTTAGTGATGCCATTACTGCAAGGTCTGTCTTTATGTCTTACTATCCTTAACTGCTTGTGTCATCTGAAATTATTTTCTCCAGCTTTACTGAATTACATGTGATAACCAAATCAATAAGCTGCCTTAAACCTTTGTATTTTTGTTCTAATAGGCACTATGTAGACTATCTCGCCACGCTCATATGCCTGGAAATTGCCTACCATTACATTACTCATCAAAACCATATTTACTACAGCTATACCATGGGCTAAGCACTGACTCAGCTCTGGGTTACCTTCCCTGTTTTCCAGCACTTTTACCACAGTTCCTCTAGCTTCATGTCTTCCCGTATGAGTGATAGAACATATATTCTAATGCTTTTATGCTTTTAACATTTTATGTTGAATTATAACATAGCCCCTAGATGGCATTTTGTTCTTCTCTGTTTAGTACACATGATACCCTGTTTGAATTGTAAACTTCTTGAAAGGATGGGTCATTTGTTACCACCAAAAAATTATGAAATTTGTAAAAAGTATACTATGGCTTTGAAAAAAAATCTCACACTTTCTGAGGCTCAATTTACTCATTTCTTTAAAGTATTATAAAGAGCAAACACATGTGAATTTTTTAAGTATGTGGATAAATTTATGTTGATTGAATATTATTTAATGAATATGTATAGCAAAACATCTTTTGATTGGTTCAGACACTATGGCTCAGAAGGTTTAGTTGCTGCTGGTATGTCTGCATCCTATACGATCATACCTGAGTTCAAATCTCTCTTCCACTTTCCATTTAGCTTCTTGCTAATTAACACCCTGGGAAGCAGCAGATGATTGCTCAAGTGTTTGGGTCCTTGGTACACATACAGGGGACTCGAATTAAGTTCCAGACTCCTGGCTTTGGTCTGCTCCAGCCTTGGTTGTAATGGGTATTTGGGAGAGTGAAACAGTGGATGAAGATCTCTCTATCTCTTTTCTTCTCTCTCTTCTTTAAATTAAAAAAAGAAAATTAAAATACATGATGCTCCCTAAATGTGTCATTTTCATGTGTCTGTTTAGAATGTTCAAAACTAAAAATTCCCTTTATGTTAGAGTTAATGTATATACAATGACTATTATATTGGTTGGCATATATAGGTATACAATAAAGGAAACATTTGTTTTTTCAGTAACTAAAGTTTTATCTTCAGAAATTAGTATTGTATATATTATATACTCAATTTCTTTTTTTTTAAAAAAAAATTGTTTGTTCATTTGAATGTCAGAGTTACAGTGAAGAAGAAGTAGAGGCACAGAGAAAGAGAGGTCTTCCAACTAACGGTTCACTCCCCAAGTGGCCATAACTTTCAGACCTGAGCCAGGCTGAAGCCAGGAGCCAGGAACTTCATGCAAGTCTTCCACATGGCCACAGGGACCCTAGCAGTTGAGCTATCTTCCACTGCTTTCCCAGGTGCATTAGGAAGGAGCTGGAATGGAAATGGAGCAGCCAGGATACAAACTGGCACCCATTAAGATAACAGTGCTGCAGTGAGCAACTTTACCTGCTATGTCACAGATTTAAATTTTTATAAATCATTAATGATTAGATAAATGAATAAGTGTGACAATATTATCATTATCAGCAAATGATATAATTTGTGGATCAAGAAAGATAAAAGCTGTTAGAAAGATTGCTAAAAACTGAAAAAGCTCATCAATAAGATATAATAATACAAATGTAGTAATTTGAAAATACAAGCAAATATTTAATTAACATGATTCAATTTTCAAATATTAAAAATTAGTTTATCTCAGAAGTATTTTAAGGAGAAATTTTACACAAGAGCATTTTAAAGCATTATTGATAGATTTAAAAAGAAGCCTTATTGAATGGATACAGCACTATAAACGTAGCTGGAAAGACTAAGCAAATATTTGAAGATGCCAGTTCTCAGGATATAAAATCAATGCACAAAAATCAACAGCCTTTGTATACACAAGCAATGCCATGGCTGAGAAAGAACTGCTAAGATCAATGCCATTCACAATAGCTACAAAAACAATCAAATACCTTGGAATAAACTTAACCAAGGATGTTAAAGATCTCTAGGATGAGAATTACAAAATCTTAAAGAAAGAAATAGAAGAGGATACCAAAAAATGGAAAAATCTTCAATGCTCATGGATTGGAAGAATCAATATCATCAAAATGTCCATTCTCCCAAAAGCAATTTATAGATTCAATGCAATCCCATTCAAGATACCAAAGACATTCTTCTCAGATCTAGAAAAAATGATGCTGAAATTCATATGGAGGCACAAGAGACCTCGAATAGCTAAAGCAATCTTGTACAAGAAAAACAAAGCTGGAGGCATCACAATACCAGATTTCAGGACATACTACAGGGCAGTAGTTATCAAAACAGCATGGTACTGGTACAGAAACAGATGGATAGACCAATGGAACAGAAATCAACCCAAACATCTACAGCCAATTTATATTTGATCAAGGATCTAAAACCAATTCCTGGAGCAAGGACAGTCTATTCAACAAATGGTGCTGGGAAAACTGGATTTCCACATGAAGAAGCATGAAGCAAGACCCCTACCTTACACCTTACACAAAAATCCACTCAACATGGATTAAAGACCTAAATCTATGACCTGACATCATCAAGTTATTAGAGAACATTGGAGAAACCCTGCAAGATATTGGCACAGGCAAAGAGTTTCTGGAAAAGACCCGGGAGGCACAGGCAGTCAAGGACAAAATCAACTATTGGGATTGCATCAAATTGAGAAGTTTTTGTACTGCAAAAGAAACAGTCAGGAGAGTGAAGAGACAACCGACAGAATGGGAAAAAATATTTGCAAACTATGCAACAGATAAAGGGTTAATAACCAGAATCTACAAAGAGATCAAGAAACTCCACAACAAAAAAACAAACAACCCACTTAAGAGATGGGCCAAGGACCTCAATAGACATTTTTCAAAAGAGGAAATCCAGATGGCCAACAGGCACATGAAAAAATGTTCAAGGTCATTAGCAATCAGGGAAAAGCAAATCAAAACCAAAATGAGGTTTCACCTCACCCGGGTTAGAATGGCTCACATACAGAAATCTACCAACAACAGATGCTGGTGAGGATGTAGGGAAAAAGGGACACTAACCCACTGTTGGTGGGAATGCAAACTGGTCAAGCCACTATGGAAGTCAGTCTGGAGATTCCTCAGAAACCTGAAGATAACCCTACCGTTCGACCCAGCCATCCCACTCCTTGGAATTTACCCAAAAGAATTTAAATTGGCAAGCAAAAAAGCGGTCTGCACCCTAATGTTTATTGCAGCACAATTCACAATAGCAAAGACCTGGAACCAACCTAAATGCTCATCAACGGTAGACTGGATAAAGAAATTATGGGATATGTATTCTTTAGAATACTATACCGCAATAAAAAAAAACAATGAAATCCAGTCATTTGCAACAAAATGGAAGAATCTGGAACACATCATGCTGAGTGAAATAAGCCAGTTCCAAAGGGACAAATATATGTTCTCCCTGACCGGTGACAACTGACTGAACACCAAAAAGGAAACCTCCTGAAGTGAAATGGACACTATGAGAAACGGTGACTTGATCAGCATAGCCCTGACTGTTAATGAACAACTTAATACATTATCCCTCTTAGTATTTTTTTTTTGTCTGTTCTACTTAATATGACTGGTTTAATTCTGTAATTATCACACAGTTATTCTTAAGTGTTGAAAATTAACTGAAATGTGATCCCTGTTAAACATAAGAGTGGGAATAAGAGAGGGAAGAGATGTACAATTTGGGACATGCTCAAGCTGACTTGCCCCAAATGGTAGAGTTAGAAACATACCAGGGGATTCCAATTTAATCCCATCAAGGTGGCATGTACCAATGCCATCTCACTATTCCAAGTGATCAATTTCAGTTCACAATTGATCATAATGAAAGGACTAAGAGTCAAAGGGAGCACATAAACAAGTCTAGTACCTGCTAACACTAACCGATAGAATTAATAAAGGGGAGAGTGATCCAACATGGGAAGTGAGATACTCAGCAGTCTCATAGAATGGCAGATGTCCTAAACAGCACTCTGGCCTCAGAATCAGCCCTAAAGGCATTTGGATCTGGCTGAAAAGCCCATGAGAGTATTTCAGGCATGGAAAGCCAAGACACTCTGGCAAAAAGATCTCTGTGAGTGAGATCCCAGTGGAAAGAACAGGTCATCAAAGAAGGAGGTACCTTTCTCTGAAGGGAGGAGAGAACTTCCACTTTGATTATGACCTTGTCTAAATAAGATAAAGAGTCGGAGAACTCAAAAGGCTTCCATAGCCTTGGAAACTCATGACTGGAGCATAGGGAGATTACTGATGCCATAAACAGGAGTGTCATTTTGTAAAGTCAACAACAGGAGTCACTGTGCACTTACTCCTCATATAGGATCTCTGTCATTAATGTGCTGTACATTGAGATTTAATGCTATATGAGTACTCAAACAGTATTTTTCACTTTGTGTTTCTATGTGGGTGCAAACTGTTGAAATCTTTACTTAATGTATACCTACTGATCTTCTGCATATATAGAAAATTGAAAATGAATCTTGATATGAATGGAAGGGGAGAGAGAGCGGGAAAGGGGAGGGTTGCGTGTGGGAGGGAAGTCATCGGTGGGGGGGAGCCAATGTAGTCCATAAGCTGTACTTTGGAAATCTATATTCATTAAATAAAAGTTAAAAAAAATAAGATGCCAGTTCTTCCTAACTCAACATATTTAATTATGAATTTATTTGGTATGCCAAAATATGATTTTAAAGCTAATTTAGAACTCTTATGCAAGCAAGTCTGACTCTCCATAAACATTTTGAAACGTTGAGAAAATGAGGAGTAGAATGTATTCTCCCAACTGTTAAATATGAAGGAAAACATCAAAGAAGTTATACTCATGAAAATAGAAGATATGTTGCCACAACAGATTTATAGCATGGATAGTTTAGAACAATGTATAAACCATTGTAAAGGATTATTTCACATACAACTACGGATTTACAATTGTCTAAAAAAAGTATTTGGGAGAAATTTTATTCATTTCTTGATAGTGAGATTTAAGAATATATATTGTCTATTTATCTGTTTTACCAGTTTTCAGTAATACATATGCATTATGTTTTTAATAATGGCATAGACAGAGAAGAAAGATAAGTAGATAGGTGATATACAGATGATAGATACCTGGACAGACAGATACATGGATAAATACATAGATAATATAGACAGACTAGGTAGATAAGAGGAGATAGTGAGAATGAGTGTGAGTGAGACACACACACACAAACACACACACAAAGTTGACTTTCACCCACTGGTTCACTCTCCAAATACCCACAACTTTGATGCTTATCCAGATTAGAGCCAGTTCTCAAGCTGAGTCTCCCAGGTAGGTGGCAAGCATCCAAGTACTTGAGGTACACAGGCTGCCTTTCAGAGTATGTAATAGCAAGAAGCTAGAACTGGAAGCAGATATGAAGTTTGAATCAGGGAACTCTGATATGGGGTGTGTGTGTTCCAACAGACATGTTAACTATTGTGCCTATTTGCCAATCTAGAAATGCACTTCAGAATGTCATCCTGCGGATGAGAACTGTTACTACAGTGATGTTCTCTCCATGAAAGGTGGCTGGTTGTGATACACATATGATATTAGGTCTTGACTTTTTTCACCTATTCCTGTGGCTAGGTCAGGCAATCTTAATGTTTCATGTTCCATTCTTCTAGAGTAATATGATTAATTGCACTTGGTATTTGGTCTCTTCAAGTAAAGCTAGGGCCAGCTACTAGTTGTGGGTTGGAAGTAAGTCCAGAGGCCATCCACTGTGGCTGAGATGCAGGGAGTGAATGCTAATATATTCACTATAGAAACGCATGTTAATGCTTCTCATCATGCTCGCTGTGATCGTGGGGTCCATTTTGTGGATGATCCAAGTGAGAATTTCCCATGACCTACTAAATTCAAGTGCTGAAATTAATTTACAGGGACTTAAGCACTCTTTAAAGGAATGAATTAGAAAGGATTTAATAGACTTAGAAGGCCTAGGATTAAATTTCATTCTTAACTAAAACACTAAATAAGTTTGAGGTGTCTCCTCCACTTTGTCATCTCTAGTTCTGTAAAATGAGGGAGTCTGATACAATCCTTACAGATCCCTTCTAGTTCTGATCATTCCTACTCTAGCATAATCCCCTGAGAGATGAAATAGTCAATCAGCAAGGTGCGGAGCACTGTGGATGCTTCATATTCCCAGAGGTCTATGTGCATCTGAGCCTGTAACAGCTTCAGGGACTTCTGCATGCAACTATATATTATTCAGGTCAGGGAGTTGGCATAGGTAACTGGGGGCCATGGGCCGCTCCTGCAAGGTCCCCAGTATTCTACTCCTTTTTCTGCAGTTCCTATGCATAGGATTCTCAGGTAGGTATTGAAACATCCGATCCTTGATATTCAGGGATTTGGGCACTCCATTAGCAATCCAGAAATCCTGAATGCTGCAAATAAAGCCATCTGCAGGAGGAAAGGCCGCCCTTACTCTGCGTTGGTTCTTTCCCCCTGTATGCGCTCTTCATAATCTTCCAAGTGTATGATTTCTACCTTTTGCTCTTGGTCTTTCACATGTCACAAAGTTTTCTACTTCTCACACTACTTTCTCAGAAGAGTTACTCCATCACACTGTAATATTTAAGTAGATTCCAGGTATGAATTAATAACTCTATGGTTTTTCTAAAGAAAAATTACATCAGGAGTACATACAATGACACTGGTTTTTTTTGTATGCCACTTTGCAGGACCTTATAAAACAATAAAAGATCCCCAAATTAATCTATCTGCAATACTGCATACAGACACAAAAGAACTCAGAACTTATGTGTAGGGGAAAATTGGATCCTAAAAATGAAATCGAGAAAATTTGCATCTTGAGAAGAAAGGTCAGAAGAGTCTTGAGTACAAAAGGAAGAGCAAAGGAGTATGAAAGGCTGGCAGTGAGGACACAGAGCAGACTTTAGAACTCAGCTATGAAATCTTCCTTCTTTAGAATTTCGCTAACTGTGTGCTTTTGTCTTTAAACAACCTCATTATCTGTTTTTTTATATTCACAATTATTTGCAATAAATATACCAAAATCCTGAAAGATTTAATGATATACCGAGTATGTAAATCCATTGCACTAAGCTCTGTGTAGCAGGGTCTGAAACTATGCATATGAGAAGAGCTGAATTCCTTGAGTTGGGTTGGAGGAGAGAAGATAAAATCCACAAAGGTATAACACAGGGCAGCAGAGAAGGGAACATTAAATTAGATGCAAGCTTAGATTTTTGAGGCATCAAGAGGGTTAATTCTGCTGAAAATGATGAGCCAAATATTCAAGGGGGAGGGTATCATTGGATCTCAGTCCTGGAAGGTTGATAGAATGGCTGTGTTCAGGCCAGTGCTGTGGCTCACTTGGCTAATCCTCCGCCTGCGTCACCAGCACCCTAGATTATAGCCCCGGTTGGGGTGCCAGATTCTGCCCCGGTTGCTCCTCTTCCAGTCCAGCTCTCTGCTGTGACCCAGGAAGTCAGTGGAGGATGGTCCAGGTGCTTGGGCCCTGCACCCGCATGAGAGACCAGGAGGAAGCACCTGGCTCCTGGGTTCGGATCAGTGCAGTATGCCGGCCATAGCAGCCATTTGGGGGGTGAACCAATGGAAAAAAGGAAGACTTTTTTCTCTGTCTCTCTCTCTCACTGTCTATATCTGCCTGTCAAAAAAAAAAAAAAAAAAAGAAAGAAAAAAGAAAGGCTATGTTCAGGGAGTTTGAACAACCAATGGGAACCATGTACTGCAGATATAGTTTGTGTGACAATAAGTAGACTTATGTAGGTAACTTGAGGTGTTAAGAAGAGAACTTTGGTAGTGACCAGAAATATTGACTTGCCACTCTTATAGAGGGCCTAGATAAATGAGTTTGGATATCGTCATTTGGTAATGAGATTTCTAATCAGAATATAATGCTTTCTGATTTTCCTTTTAAACATAGTAATATTACTTAGGTTAGAGATGAATCAGAGATAGGCAAGAAATTTATAAGGAGGCTAATATTATGGTACACTAATACAATATCTTGGTTTGAAAGCGATATGGCAGAATGAAAGAAATGGAGCAAGGTACTGGTAGAAGAACCTTGAAGTTATTTTCATCATTGCTACTGGATGAATGTGTCTGACAAAGGAAAAGACAAATGATGTTTTGATTTTGATGCTCCATCTTGGGCATAATAATGCAACTATTCAAAGTGACAGTGCCGGGTGAGCATTTGGCCTAACAGTCAAGACTATAGTTGGGATGTCTACAAACATATTAGAGTACCTAGGTTTGACTCTTCACTGTGTTCGCAATTTCAACTTCTAGCTAAAGCACACCAAGAGAAGTGATAGGTGACAGCGATAGTGTCTCTACCACCCATGACAAGACACTGACTGAATTACCTTCTTTCAGTTTTAACGCAGCCCAGTCCTGACCACTGGGGACACTAGGGACTAAACCAGCAGATAGGAGCTCTTTCTTTCTGTCTCTCTGTCACTTTTTGTCTCTCTACCTTTGTTTCTGTATATTCCTCACTCTACTTCTAAAATGAATAAACTTTAAACTTTAAAAATAATAGGCAATGAATCTAAAGTATAGATAAATTATTAATCTATGAAATAAATTATTAAGAAATCATATCAATCAGTAAAGTTGTTCAGGAAGATAAGTGATTTATAGCTATTAAATGGATCAAAGATGTATGGAATATGAAAGTCATGTACAACTTGATGATGTGTGTAAGGTTATTCCTGTGGATGTATGTCTTTCTGTCCATTTAAGTTTTGGTTAGATGAATGGGGTAAAAACAGAGACAACATGGCAGTATGGGAAGTGGAAGTGATAGGTTGTGGGGTTTAAGTCACATTAAAGGGTGGGAAGAAGAAGAAATTGTGATTCACTGAATAAATCTTTGCTTAGGAAGACATCAGAATAGTTAAGTGGTAATGAGGAGAATGTTTCTCTTCATTCTTGAGCAAAGCCATACTCATGGACTGACAAGAAATAAGCTCATAAATTTAAAGATGGGAGGTGCAAGAATTGCAAAGTGGCTTGTTTTGCCAACTGGATAAAATGAGATAACAGACCATTTCACAAGTTTTAGAAACAATGAGAAGCAAGGATGAGTGACCTGGCGAACAAAATTGATGAATGTCCTGAGGTGAGGATCTGGAAAATATTCTCAAAATACTAGGCAGGGCCATGTATCAGAGCATCTATTTATTTTCTTTACAGGACAGTGGCCCTGGAATCAAAGCAAGAATCCCAGCATGGGAGGAAGCCCCCACAACAGTTCAGGGCTGCCTCCTTTCACCTTGACTGGACTCCCAGGGCTGGAAACCTCCCAACACTGGATGATTTTGCTCCTTGGTCCTCTCTACATTGTCTCTATTGTGGGCAATGCCCTTATCCTTTTCATTATCAAGGAGGAGCAGAGCTTACACCAGCCCATGTACTACTTCCTGTCCATGCTGTCAGTTAATGATCTCGGTGTGTCTTTTTCCACACTGCCCACAGTTCTAGCCACTTTTTGCTTCCACTTAAAAGAGATCAGTTTCAACTCATGCATGACCCAAATGTTCTTTATCCATTTCTTCTCTGTCATGGAGTCTGGGATCCTGTTGGTCATGAGCTTTGACCGCTATGTGGCCATCTGTAACCCTCTGCACTATGCTACAGTGCTCACTGATGCTCATATTGTGTGTATGTGCATTTCTGTTATTATTCGCAGTTTCTGTGTCATCCTCCCACTGCCTTTACTTCTGAAGAGGTTACCTTTTTGTAAGGCCAATGTCCTCTCCCATGCCTACTGCCTACATCCAGACCTGCTCCGCCTGCCCTGTGCAGACATCACGATCAATAGCATTGTTGGTCTCTTCATTATCATCTCTACAATTGCCCTGGATTCGGCACTTATCCTCATCTCCTATGTACTCATAGTTCGCTCTGTACTGGCCATTGCTTCTCGGGAGGAGAGGCTAAAGACGCTCAACACGTGCGTGTCACACATGTGTGCTGTGCTGATCTTCTATGTGCCCATGGTTGGTGTTTCTTTGGTTGCTCGCTATGTGAGACATGCCCCACAGTATGTACACACTCTCATGTCTCTGATCTATCTCTTCCTGCCTCCGATGCTCAATCCTGTCATATATTCTATCAAAACCAAGGATATTCGTCGTAGGTTGTGCAAAATACTACTAGGAATGAAGCTTTGAACAAGAGACATGCTGATAAGTGAAGATTCTGTGTATATTTTCCATTACTGTTAAAATTTTAGTTTTTGATACATACTTTGACAAGACATTTCTAATGTTCTTTCACGTACTGGCTCCTCATTAGATCGTGATATCAGATGTTTCAAAGCAGCCTGACAACTGTTATGATTCAAGCCCACAGGTTTTTCTTTGGTAGCTGGGCTATAATTTTCAAACCACATTTGCTCAACTCATTTCCTTATTTTTAAGGAATTTTTTAATATGTTAGCTCATCAGAGTAGTGGCAAATTCACGGTAATTACTATAACAGAATTCTAGTCAATTCTTACGTTAAGGTGATTTTAATACAAATGAACATATTCAACTAGTTCATAGTTGTAAATCTAATCATAGACATTTTTGTTCCCTCCCTCACTTTCTTTCTTGCATGCTCTCCCTTGTGTGTGAGAGCTAAAATTTTAAACAGAAAAAAAAATCAATAGACAAAACAAAATGGAGAAAGAAAAGCCTTAAGTATCAGTATTGCTGCAAACACAGTTTTGTCAAATTCTATTTATATATTTGTCAAACCAATGTTTGTGAATGACTTAACTTTTACAGTTTTAATTATAGTTGGTTATTTAAAAATTTACTGGTTATTCATAAAATGGTCATAATTTAATATGGTAATTTTTAAAGCCATTGCCTCTATTCCTGTTCATCTAAGGTCTTCCTATTTTTACTTACTATTATATTTAGTGGGCATATTCCTTTGATTATAGTATAAATTAAAAATTTTTCTTAAAAATTAAGAGAACAAATTTATTTCCTTTCATATAAAAATTCATCATAATCTCTATGTTATTGTCACAATTGTTTAAAATGAATCATAACACTGTAAAATACTTATTACCATGGAAACACTGCCAAATGGGGGAGAGATTCTATTCCCAGAGACTATGTCAGAGATACCAAAGCAATAAACACATGTACAAGCACACAAAAGCTCTGAATACCAAAATTTCTTTCTTTTTTTTTTTAAGATATATTTATTTACTTGAAAGTCAGAGGGTTACACAGAGAGAAGGAGATTTAAAATGAGAGATGTCTTCTATGCAGTGGCTCAGTCCCCAGTTGGTTGTAATGGCCAGAGATATGGGGATCCAAAGCTAGGAGCCAAGAACTTCCTCTGGGTCTCCCAAGGAATTTGGCCATCTTCCACTGCTTTCACAGGCCATAGCAGAGGGCTGGATCAGAAATGGAGCAGCCAGGTCTCAAACCGGTGCGCATATGGAATGCCAGCACTGCAGGTGTCCGCTTTAACCTCCACACCACAGCACCAACCCCCAAAATTTATTTCAAATAACACACTCTAAACAGTTTTAAAATGAAATTAGAGTAATATTATACTACATGATCTAATTCAGAGTAATATTAGTATTTGATGGAGCTTCTAATTTAAATTCTATGTGTGTGTTATAGTGTGTTAGCAAACAACGAAGAAAGTAGTATTAAGAGAAAATTATTATAAACATGAAATGTAATGATGTACTCTGACTAAATTCTAGTGAGATTTTGAGCCTATTTTTAAAACAAATAAAAAACAGAATTAAGCATTCAAATTAAGACTTTAAAAAGAATAAAATGTTAGGCATAATTCAGATAGTTAAAATTAAAAATAAATTAAGTAAACAGAAGAGAGTGAGAACAGCTGATAACATTATTTAACAAGCTGGTAAAATGGACCAACCTCTCATGGAAAGAGAGAATGGATTAGAGGGCTTATTTAATGAAATAATTACAGAGAATCCCCCAATTTGGAAAAAGGGATGTTCAGGTACAAGAAGCACATAGAACTCCTAAAGTACATGACCAGGAAAGATCTTCAGCATGACACATTGTAGTCAAACTTTCCACAGTGAAATATACATAGAATATTCTAGAACATGCCTGAGAGAAATGCCAGGTGACTTTTAGAGGATCTCAAAATTCAACTCAGAACTCACTTGTCATCAGAAACTCTACAGGTTAGGAGAGAATGGAGAGACATAGTCCAGTTCTTAAGAGAAACAAACTGTCAATCAAAAATAATGTAGCCTGCATAGCTCTCATTATGAATGAAGGTGAAATAAAGACCTTCCACAAGAAACAGAAATTGAAAGAATTTGTCACCACATATCCAGCCTTACAAAAATGCTTAAAGATGTGCTATTGCTATAAACACAGAGAGATACTCAATATTTTTAAAGAATATGAAGGCAGAAAAATTCCAAGTAAAAACACAAAGGAAAAGCAAAGTAAACAACAGGAATATTTATGGAAAAATGGCAGGGCAAAGTTGTTACTTATCAATGGTAACCTTGAATGTAAATGCCTAAACTCTCCAGTTAAAAGATACAGTTTGGCTAAATGAAATAAAAAGACTCATTTATTTGCTGCCTACAAGAAACACATCTCACCAGCAAAGATACGTGCAGACTGAATGTGAAAGGATGAAAACAGATATTCCATGCTAATGGAAAGCAAAAAAGGGATTCCTGAATAGCCATCTGAATGTAAGACAAAATAGATTCTAACACAAAAACTGTTAAAGAGACAAAGGAGGACATTATATATATATATATATATATATATATATATAATCAATATTAAGGGATCAATGCAACAGGAAGTTTGACTTTTTTTTCTTTATATTTTATTTTATTTAATGAACATAAATTTCCAAAGTACAGCTTATGGATTACAATGGTTTCTCCCCCCCATAACTTCCCTCCCACCCACAACACTCCCCTCTCCCACTCCCTCTCCCCTTCCATTTACATCAAGATTAATTTTCAATTATCTTTATATACAGAAGATCAATTGAGCATATATTAAGTAAAAATTTCCACACTTTGCACCCACACAGAAACACAAAGTATAAAATACTATTTGAGTACTAGTTATAGCATTAATTAAACACCTAAGAGTAATTGTGTATTAATTACAGAGTTCAACCAATAGTTTTAAGTAGAACATAAAAAATACTAAAAGGGTAAAGTATTAAGTTCTTTTTTTTTCTTTTTCTTTTTTTTGTTTGTTATATAGTTATTTTTTATTTAATAAATGTGAATTTACAACGTACAACTTTTGTATAGTTGTGGCTCCCCCCACCAAACCTCCCTCCCTCCCGTGGCCCTCCCCTTTCCCACTCCCTCTCCCATCCCGCCCTTCATCGAGTTTCATTTTCAATTACCTTCATATACTGAAGATCAACTTAGTATATACTAAGCCAGGACTTCAACAGGCTGCACTCACACAACCGCACAAGGTATAGGGTATTGTTCGACTAGTAATGTTGTTTTTAAGTTTCATAGTAAAACAGATTAAGGACAGAGATCCTACATGGGGAGCATGTACCCAGTGACTCACATTGTTGATTTAACAATTGGCACTCTTATTTATGACATTAGCAATCACCGGAGACTCTTGCTATGAGCTGTCTAGGCTATGGAAGCCCCTTGAGTTCACTGACTCTGTACTTGTTTAGTCAAGGCCATATCACAGTGGAGGTTCCTTTCTCCCTTCAGAGAAAGGCACCTCTCTCCTTGATGGCCTGTTCCTTCTGCTGGGATCTTGTTCACCAGGATCTTTCATTTAGATTGTTTTTTTTTTGCCACCGTGTCGTGGCTTTCCATGCCTGTGAGACTCTCATGGACCTTTTAGCCAGATCCGAATGTCCCAAGGGTTGATTCTGAGGCAGGAGTGCTGCCATTCTATGAGTCTGCTGAGTGTCCTATTTCCCCGCAGGATCATTCTCTCCCTTTTGATTCTATCCTTCATTATTTGCTTACACTGGTCTTATTTGTGAAATCTCATTGACACATACCCTATCTTTTTGATCGGTTGTATATTTATACTTATCACTTTACCAAGTGCGCAGGCGTTGGTACCTGCCTCCTCGGTAAGATTGAGTTGAAATACCCTGGCACATTTCTAGTTCCACCATTGGAGGTAAGTCCGAGTGAGCATGTGCCAACCTATATATCCCCTCCCTCTCTTATTCCCACTCCTATGTTTAACAGAGGTCACTTTTAATTTTTAAACGCCTAAGAATGATTGTGCATTGATTACAGAGTTCAGCCAGTGGTCTTACGTAGAACAAACAGAGCAACAACAACAACAACAACTTTTTGACTATAATAAGTAAGTGCCTAATTAGAGAGCACTTGACTATTTAAAATAAATGTTAGCTGATCTAAATGGAGACATAGACTCCAATACAACATTAATGGTGGTCTTCAATATCCCATTTTCACCAATGGACAAATTAACCAGACAGAAAATCAACAAAGAAAAACAGAGCTAATCCACACTATGGAACAGATGTACCAAATGGATATCTACAGAACTTTTCATCGCATAATCCAGAATACACATTCTTCTTCTCATCAGTGCATGGAACTTTCTCTAGGATAGACCATATGCCTGGACACAAAGCAAGTCTCAGCAAATAAAAAAAAAATGAAACCATATCATGTCTCTTCTCTGGCCACAATGGATTGAAGTTGGAAATGACAACTCAAGAAACTCTAGAACATATGCAAACATATGGAGACTGAATGGCATATTGCTGAATGAACAGTGGGTCACACAAGAAATCAAAACATTTCTGGAAAATAATGAAAATAACAAGACATCATATCAAAACTTATGGGATGAAGCTGGCACCATGGCTCACTAGGCTAATCCTCCGCCTTGCAACGCCGGCACACCGGGTTCTAGTCCCAGTCGGGGCGCCAGATTCTGTCCTGGTTGCCCCTCTTCCAGGCCAGCTCTCTGCTGTGGCCAGGGAGTGCAGTGGAGGATGGCCCAAGTGCTTGAGCCCTGCACCCCATGGGAGACCAGGATAAGTACCTGGCTCCTGCCATCGGATCAGTGTGGTGCGCCGTCTGCACACGCCGGCCGTGGTGGCCATTGGAGGGTGAACCAACGGCAAAGGAAGACCTTTCTCTCTGTATCTCTTTCTCACTGTCCACTCTGCTTGTCCAAAATAAATAAATAAATAAATAAAACTTATGGGATGCAGCAAAAACAGTTTTAAGAGGAAAGTTCACAGCAACGGACACCTATATGAAAAATTGGCTTGGTACCAATAAATGAACTACAAATTCCTCTCAAAGACCTA